CTGAATGTTCTCACCACACACAAAAAAAAGACGTGGTGATCATGTGATGTGATGGCAGTGGTGGTGATAATTTTGCAATGTGTGAGTGTATGAAGTCAACACATTGGAGACCATAAGTTTACACATGTTATTCATCAATTGTAACTCAGTAAAACTGGAAAAAAAAGAAAAAAGAAAGAAAAGAAACAAGCAAGCCACAGACTGGGACTAAACATCTACAAAACAACTATCTGACAAAGGACTAATGTCCAGAATACATAATAAACATCTACAACTTAATAGTAGAGAGACTTAACAACTTGACAAAATACAGGCAAGAGAATTGAACAGATACTTCACAGAGGAGTATACACAAATGGCCAGTAAGTACCTCATCGTTAGTCATCAGGGAGATGCAAATGAAAACTGCAGGGAGATATACTATGGGGCTAAAGACCAACAACGCCAAATGTTGCCAAGGGTGAGAGCTACTGGTGAGAGTTTAAATGATACGTCCACTTTGGCAAAAGATCTGCAAGTTTCTTATAAAACTAAACATATACCTATCTAGCAATTCCACTCCTTGGTATTTATCCTCCACAGTGAAAGCTTTTGTTCTCAAGAAGACTTGTACTAGAATGGGGACTTCCCTGGTGGTCCAGGGCGTAAGACTCCCTGATCCCAATGCAGGGGGCCCGGGTTCGATCCCTGGCTGGGAAACTGGATCCCACACGCATGCTGCAACTGAGAGTTCCTGTGCTGCAACTAAGAGTCCGCATGCCGCAACTAAAAAAAAAAGATCCCGCATGCCACAACAAGGATCTCGCATGCCACAATGAAGATCTGGCACAGGCAAACTAATAAATAAATAAATATTAAAAATAAATAAATAAATAAAATAGAAGATTGTACTAGAATGTTCACAGAAGCTTTATTCATCATAGCCCCCAACTGGAAACAGCCCAAGCATCTGTCCATCATGAATGGATACACAGACTGTAGTATGTGCATACTCAGTGGTAAAAAAGGATACACACGGCTACATGGATGAATCTCAAAAACATCATGCTGAGTGAAACAGGCCTCACACCAAAGAGCATGACTTCATGATTCTACTTTCATGAAGTTCTAGAAAAGGTTAGACTGATCTGTGATGAAAAAATTCAGCCCAGTGGTAACCTCTGGGGGTGGGAGTGGGTAGGAGTGGACTGGAAAGCAGCAGAAGGGAATATTCTCTGGTGATGGTGATGTGATGTTCTGTATCTTTTTTTTTTTTTTGCGGTACACAGCCCTCTCACTGTTGTGGCCTCTCCCGTTGCGGAGCACAGGCTCCGGACACGCAGGCTCAGCGGCCATGGCTCACGGGCCTAGCTGCTCCGCGGCATGTGGGATCTTCCCGGACCGGGGCACGAACCCGTGTCCCCTGCATCGGCAGGCGGACTCTCAACCACTGCGCCACCAGGGAAGCCCGACGTTCTGTATCTTGATAGATCGTGTTGCATTAGTTAGAACTTATCAGATGGTACACTTACGATCTGAGCATTTCACTATAAATTTTATCCCCAGTGATCCCCAAATATAAACACATATTAAACTCTGGCTCATGACACGCATGCTCAAGGATTTGGGAGGGGAGTGCTCTGATGTTTGTAAATTACTTAGAAATGCATCCAAAACTAAGATGAATTGATGGGTGGACGGAGGGATGGCTGAATGGTTATGTAATAAAGCAAATACAGCAAAATGGTAGCTGTACAATCTAGGTGGGGAGGAAACGGGTGTTTGCTGAACAATTCTTTCAACTTCTATGTATGTTTGAAATTTTTCATAATAAAATGTTGGAGGGGGGGAACAGGATGAATACAAAGTTAAAAAAAAAGAGGACAGAGCCGCAGCACTCAATCTCCATCCCAGCTCTAAAATCAAAGAACCACAAAATGACTTGAAACACCGAGGTCCCCACTTCCACCCCCACCTCCAGGTTTGGTTACAGTACTTACGTAACCCCAGAACCACAGCCCCATCATCATAATATGCCCCTGAGCCTCCGTATCAAAAATCCAAAGCAGCATCCTACGGTTTCAGGCCCAGAAGAGACATCAGCCTGCATGTGTGCGTGTGTGTGTGTGTGTACCAAGAAGATGGTCAACCCAGTTCACCTGCTTTAAGTCATTTGATACAGTTGGGAAAATAGGGGTCTGGGCACATACCAGGGCTCAGCTGGGTATTTAATGCTAAGCCAGACACCCACCTCCCCAACCATGCCTATGTCAGCTCCAACCAGGGTTTCAGATCAAAAGCATCATCTTCCAATATCAGTGTGACTCATTGTGCACTTGTGTGTGCTGGGCGTTTGACATGACTTCATTTAATCCTCACAACCACCCTATGAGGTAGTTTTATTATCTTGCTTTTATGGTTGAGGAAACAGCCTCAGAGAGGGTAAATAATGCCCAGGAACACACAGCCGGAGCTGGAATGCAGGTACATTCAGTGAGGCTCTAGGGCAGAGGCCCTTTCTAGAAAGCACTCCCCCCAGCCCCGCAAGCCCTTCTGAACCAGTACTGACAGGGGTGCAACCTGTGTGTCTGTATAGCTTTTTGAGCAGGGAGAACTGGGCTTCAGGGGACAATGAAAAACTCTCAACACCTGAGAGCGACGGGTCCAATCTCTCTCCCTCCGAGGCCCTGCACACGTGGAGATCTTTAGACGACCCCACACTCTGCGTTTCTGTGCCAGGCGTGCTCAATAGGCTAGATGTATGTTTCGTATGTACACCAATCACAGCCTCGCCCTGGTTTTCCCTCTTGTTCATTCCGTTAAAAGAAGTGCCAGGCCTATGTTTTCATCTAAGAGTTTGATAGTTTCTGGCCTTACATTTAGGTCTTTTATCCATTTTGAGTTTATTTTTGTGTATGGTGTTAGGGAGTGTTCTAATTTCATACTTTTACATGTACCTGTCCAGTTTCACCAGCACCACTTATTGAAGAGGCTGTCTTTTCCCCACTGTATATTCTTGCCTCCTTTATCAAAGATAAGGTGACCATATGTGCGTGGGTTTATCTCTGGGCTTTCTATAGTGTTCCATTGATCAGTATTTCTGTTTTTGTGCCAGTACCATACTGTCTTGATTACTGTAGATTTGTAGTATAGTCTGAAGTCAGGGAGCCTGATTCTTCCAGCTCCATAGGCAGAACACTCTATGACATAAATCACAGCAAGATCCTTTTTGACCCACCTCCTAGAGAAATGTAAATAAAAACAAAAATAAACAAATGGGACCTAATGAAACTTAAAAGCTTTTGCATAGCAAAGGAAACCATAAACAAGACCAAAAGACAACCCTCAGAATGAGAGAAAATATTTGCAAATGAAGCAACTGACAAAGGATTAATCTCCAAAATTTACAAGCAGTTCATGCAGCTCAATAACAATAAAACAAACAACCCAATCCAAAAATGGGCAGAAGACCTAAATAGACATTTCTCCAAAGAAGATATACAGATTGCCAACAAACACATGAAAGAATGCTCAACATCATTAATCATTAGAGAAATGCAAATCAAAACTACAATGAGATATCATCTCATACCGGTCGGAATGGCCATCATCAAAAAATCTAGAAACAATAAATGCTGGAGAGGGTGTGAAGAAAAGGGAACACTCTTGCACTGTTGGTGGGAATGTAAATTGATACAGCCACTATGGAGAACAGTATGGAGGATCCTTAAAAAACTAAAAATAGAACTACCATACGACCCAGCAATCCCACTACTGGGCATACACCCTGAGAAAACCATAATTCAAAAAGAGTCTTGTACCACAGTATTCACTGCAGCTCTATTTACAATAGCCAGGACATGGAAGCAACCAAAGTGTCCATCAACAGATGAATGGATAAAGAAGATGTGGCACATATATACAATGGAATATTACTCAACCATAAAAAGAAACGAAATTGAGTTATTTGTAGTGAGGTGGATGGACCTAGAGTCTGTCATGCAGAGTGAAGTAAGTCAGAAAGAGAAAAACAAATACCGTATGCTAACATATATATATATATATATATATATATATATATATATGGAATCTAAGAAAAAAAAAAGGTCATGAAGAACATAGGGGTAAGATGGGAATAAAGACACAGACCTACTAGAGAATGGACTTGAGGATATGGGGAGTGGGAAGGGTAAGCTGTGACAAAGTGAGAGAGGCATGGACATATATACGCTACCAAACATAAAACAGATAGCTAGTGGGAAGCAGCCGCATAGCACAGGGAGATCAGCTCGGTGCTTTGTGACCGCCTAGAGGGGTGGGATAGGGAGGGTGGGAGGGAGGGAGACGCAAGCGGGAAGAGATACGGGAACATATGTATATGTATAACTGATTCACTTTGTTATAAAGCAGAAACTAACACACCATTGTAAAGCAATTATACTCCAATAAAGATGTTAAAAAATTTTTTTTAAAAAAGTGTCAGGTACTACCTGTTTCTACCCGTAGGCTTTAATGACTCAGGAGAGTCCAGCAGCGCCCTCTAACCCCCTCCTTTGTCTTTACCCTCCTGTCACACTTTCCCACTGGGCTGTGCCTGGCGACCGCGTTGAGCAGGGGTGGGAGCTCCTCATGCCAAGTCTGGGTTTATAACTTTGGGGACAAGGGGGAGGGGGAAGGGAAGATGTTAAGAGGCCCTTAATTGGGGAAAATGTTTTACAAATCTGAATTCCCACGACACCTGGGATTCTCATCAGAGCTGTAACAACTCAGATCCTTCCCACCAGAAAAAGATGCAGCCCCTCCTACACCATTTACCACGGGCTCCACTCCAGCACCAGGCATCTGACTCATCAAGGCAGGTGAAAGGGTTAGAGGTTAAAAAAAAAAAAAGAGAAAACCATAAGCAACAGGCTTAGTGACTTACAGGGCTTTTTCAAGGGTGATCTTTAGAGAGAAATATGTCTATGTAGAGATTAAGTATGTCATTCACTTATAAAAGAAGAGAAAGGAAAAAACCAAAATCCTATGAAAATTTCTTTAATTTTCATCTTTTGGAAATACATTTTTCATTTTTATTTCCACGATACAAAAATGTTAAATATCTAACAATGATCTATATGAAGCAGATCTACTGAAGCAGATCCACGAGATTCTGTCCCTGTTGTGACCTGTTTCAACAGAGAAAGGGCTGGTACAGGGTGTCGATTTGTCATGATTTCACACACATGCACACACGCCACCTCACCCTCAGATGCCACCAAACAGAGAAGACATCAGGCTAAGATAACGAAAACTGAAAGCAGTGCTACATGGGAAAACAGAAATTAACTTTTCACTCGTACACTCCACCATGAGAAACTCATATCTTAGGGGGAAAACTCTAAATAAATATGCCCCAAAGGTCAAGGCAGGTGTTGACAGCGGTAGAGATTTTCCTACTGGGAAAACAAGCTTGAGAGCCTCATATTTTCAGGCAGCGATGGTGGAAAGCAGGCAGACACAACCGAATTCTCTACTGGGAGACATACCCACGCGCTGGGGCTGCCCCCAGGACTGAGCATGAGATGGTGGATGAGAACCTCTCAAAGCAGGGAAGAGTTCAACCCCAAATCAGGATCACAGCACCTAAGAGTGTTGGCTCTTTCTGTGAAATCTCACGGCCAACCTTCCCCATCAGGTGGATTCTTAAACAAAGATTCATGACAGGAAGGGTTTCACATGAGCAACAAGTAATGACCTGGTTAATCACGTACACATGACAGCCAACGACATGCTGAGCGCCAGCAGACAGGTGATGCTAAAGAGGAAGGAACACAGCCTTGACGATAAAAACTGGGATTTTTCAGGAGACACACACTTGGTTTCAAACCCCTCCTGCACCACATTGGATTCAGTTAAACACAGTATGGCTTCCAAAAATGCCGGCTGCTTCTTTCCTTCTCAGCAACAGCACCAGCGGTTTGTTCCACTCAGGTCTTGGTTACCACGTGTCAGGGACCTCAAAGAGCTTGGCTGAGCTGTCCGAGATGCTTCCTGGTGGGAGAGGACAAAACAAGGTGAACAAGGAGAGGACCACCCCGGGGGGGAGAACAAAAAGACTAGCTGCAAAGACAGCTTTGACCAGGGCCAGGGCCTGGCGGTGGCACGGCCACAAGTGGAGAGAGTCCACGGGTGGGCCTTGCCTATGGAGAGCAGTGCCCGGCAAACAGAGGCCACACTGCGGAAACATAGCGGCAGGGCCGAGGAAGTGCCTCCCTGCTTGGGTGCCTCTTGATTTTACAGGAGTGACAGTATCTCTCAGTGAGAACACACTCTGTATTCTTTGCTAGCCAGCATGCTGGGCACTTAGTTCATTTAATCTTCATAAAAGCCCAGTTCAGGGGTACCAATATCCCCATTTTACAGATACAAGACATCTAGCGAGTGGCTGAGATGGGGTCTGGATCCTTCCACAGCACCAAGGTGGCTGGGTTCCTCTGTGCCGTGGTGACCGGCACCCAGATGAGAAATCTCAGGGGCTGGCGGCTAGACAGTGGCGGGAAGCTGACCAGTGGGAGTTCAGAGATCCCAAAAGGGGCAAAAGCAGCTTGTAGCTTTTTCCAATTTCAGCAACACTGGCTACAGTCTTCTCGGACTGAAGGGTCTCTTCCGTTACAAACAGTTTCGCCCTGAAGTTAGAAGCCCTTCTGCATTCAGCTACTTTCTGCAACAGCAGCAGCAGCACTGGGTCAGGGCCTGGACCACAAACGTCCAGATCCGAATGAATGGGAATTAAGTCAGGAAACAGCGTGTTCACGATGGAAAATGCACGACCGGGCATTCCCGTACCCGTGGTATCATGCATTATTTAAGCCCTAGAGCAGGGCTGGCAGGGAAAAGGGCAAAGCCAGCCCCAGCCGCTAACACGCCAAGAGTTCAAAAGGGGGGAGGTCTGTGATGATGCCTGAAGTGGAGAGTAACTTCTAAAAACAGAGGGGAACTCGCTCGGCTGGCAGTGGCTACTGCCAGTGACAGGAATGCCTAAAGGTAACTAGGTCCAAACACATGAAATAACACAGGGAATTCCACTAGAGTGAGAATTCCCACTTCTGCTCATTTATTGAGATAAAGTCCAGACAGACAGGATAAGAAGAGCAGGCGAGGGGTCATTTGAAGTGTTCTGCCCCAAGTCTCGTGGCTGTGTTGCACATGCATCTCTTCGGACTGCTCCTGAGAAGTGAAGATGGGCAGGAGATGGTCCACGTGACAAAGAGTGCCATGATCCAGTTAGAAAAGGAATAAAGGTTATTGAAAAATGAAACAAAACACGAACACTCCCCTCCCCAGAGCAACTAAATACTACAGACGGCCCATGATAAGACTGAAACCAGCCTGACCCCTCCTCCACCACACATTCACACAACACCTAATTGTAGGGAGGAAAATAAACATCAATAAGGGCATTTTTACAATTCACATATCAAAGAAATATTACAGCAGCCAATCTGCCATTCTAAAGGTAAAAGCCACAACGCCAAATGTGGGGAGCTGAAATAAATTAAAACTAGCTGAGAGGAAAAAAGATAAATGGCTAAAAGCAACAGCGTTGTCATATTTATAATCGCACCCGTGGTTAGCTGGATGGGAGTATATGTGAGTCTGGTGGTACGCCATCAAACGCACAGGAGCGACTCTGTGAAGAGCTAGTGAGAAATAACAGAATAAGCAAAAGCTGTGAAGTGAGGCAAGTCTGGCCTGACCATCTCACTAGCTGTAAGACTCCAAGCAACTCTCAGTGCCTCATCTATAAGATGGACTCGATGCTACTTTATGCCACCCAGGACTTCTGAGATTCAGCCAGGTTCCTGGCACAGAGCAAGTTTTTTTTTTCTTTTTTTTTTCTTTGCAGTACGTGGGCCTCTCACTGTTGTGACCTCTCCAGTTGCGGAGCACAGGCTCCAGACGCGCAGGCTCAGCAGCCATGGCTCACGGGCCCAGCCGCTCCGCAGCATGTGGGATCTTCCCGGACAGGGGCACAAATCCGTGTCCCCTGCATCGGCAGGCGGACTCTCAACCACTGCGCCACCAGGGAAGCCCCAGAGCAAGTTTTTAATGCACGTTAGGCCCCTTCCCTTAGGGATAAGGTGGCCCAACACTGAACGTGGTGGCTGCCCAGGAAGCCAACAGCCTGCAGTCAGAGAGCTGCCTAAAATGCGCAGCTGCTGAGCAAGAATGATGTGTACGGAGGAAACAGAACTTTACAAACCATGTAAAGGAGACCCAGACCAGAGGGGAGCTGGACGCCACTGCTGGTGTTTGTTCTAGCACCTTCCAGAAAGGGAGAGCTGTAGACCGTTGAAGGATCTGTCTCAAAGCTAACGGACAAAGAGCTACGGTCGGTTTTCCGGCGAACTCACTTTCACAGCCCTGTTTAGTTACTAGAGTGCAAAGAATTATTCAGGAACAATTCTTCTTTTTAAATAGATACTTCAGGACATCTGCCTCCTGCTACGATGGGCCATACCTTGCATCACATACAAAGATTAACTCTAAATGGATAGTATGTCTGCATGTAAAACCTAAAACTGGAAAACTTCTAGAAGAAAACACGAGAGAAGATCTCTGCAATCGAGTAAGGCAAAGATTTCTTAGATATGACAACAAAGGCATAATCCAAGGGAAAAAGATTGATAAATTGGATTTCGTTAAAATTTAAAACTTCTACTATTGAAAGATACTGTTAAGAGAATGAAAAGAAAAGCACAGTCTGGAAGAATCTGTAGAACACCCATAAGGACTTGTATCCTGAATACGTAAGAATACATAAGAACTCTTGAAACTGAATAAGGAGAAAACAAACAGCCCAATGAAAAAATGAGCAAAAGATCTGAACAAACATTTCATTAAAGAAATTTAAATGGACAAATAATCAAATAAAAAGATACTTGACATCATTAGTCATTAGGGAAATTCAAACCAAAGCCATAATGAGATACCAGTACACACCACTAGAATGGCAAAAAGGACAATACCAACACTGGTGAAGGTACAGAGCCACTAAGCCCTCATGCCCGGCTGGTGGGAATGCAAAATGCTGCAGCCACTTTGGAAACCAGTGGGCCAGGTTCTTATAAAATTAAACATACACTTACCACACGACTCAGTAATTCCAGCCTTAGGTATTTTCCCAAAGAAATGAACACTTAGTTCGCACAAAAACTTATACATAAATGTTTATATCTGCTAGATTCTTAGTTGCTAACAACCTAAATGTCAACAGGCAAAATGGATAAACAGTGATATGTCCATAAAATGGACTGCTACTCAGCAGAAAGAAGGAATGAGCCAGTGACATGGGCAAGAACACAGACAAACGTCAAATGTGTTAAGCTAAGTGCAAGACTCTAGGGGTTACTTATTGAATGATTCCATTTAAATGACCTTCTGAAAAAGGCAAAATTACAGGAATAGAAAGCAGATCAGCAGCTGCTGGGATCTATGGATGGGAAGGGGCTGATTGCAAAGGGGCACGAGGGAATCTTCTGGAATAACTGTTCTATTTCTTGAGCACAGTGATGGTTATTTGACTACATATTTGTCAAAATTCATCAACTTGTACACCTAAAAGTAATGACATATTGTATGTAAATTGTATCTTAATAAAGCTGACCCTGCAAAAGGTATGAGGAATGTTGTTTTAAAAAAAATCCAACAGATTTTAATATGAAATATTATGCTGATAATTAAAATTATTTGACCAAGAGTTTTTTTTTAAATGGGGGGAAAACAAGATACTAAACGACATATAGAGTATGATGCCAACTATGTATAAAAACGATAGGCAGGGGCTTCCCTGGTTGCGCAGTGGTTGAGAGTCTGCCTGCCGATGCAGGGGACATGGGTTTGTGCCCTGGTCCAGGAGGATCCCACATGCCGCGGAGCGGCTAGGCCCGTGAGCCATGGCCGCTAAGCCTGCGCGTCTGGAGCCTGTGCTCCGCAACGGGAGAGGCCACAACAGTGAGAGGCCCACGTAACACAAATTAAAAAAAAAAAAAAAAAAAAAAAAAAAGATAGGCAGAGTAAAATACTTGTTAACAGAGTATCAAGTAACTAGGGTTTAATGTTCTTTCTAGCTTCCTTCATTTTACTGATTTTCATAGTGAGCACATTATTTTTGTTAACAGAAACAACAAAAGAAACTAAAAAGTGGTAAACACAAAGGGTGATTGTTTCTGCTGATTTACCTTTCATCTAACTAGAGTTGAAAGGGAGAAACTCTGAGCTAAGACAGCTCTCCCCTCACGTGAATCTGAAAAACCACACAGCACACTGGAAATCTGCCGTCCTACCGTTTCCTACAGAGTGGAATTCTGTATAGGGCAAGATCCTCTGGGGTGCCATACAGGAGTTTTTAAGTAGGAAGTGCTCCGAAGGGCCTGGTCGTGGGGTGGTATCCACACCAAGAAAGCAGGGCTCCCCTGGATGGTGTGTGGGGAGCCCCCGAGGTATGCCTGGAGGAAGAGGGAGGTGCAGGGAGTGTGCCGCCCCACAGGGCAGCACACTCCTCAGTTAGGCTGAAATCTGCATTTTAATTGAGGAATTAAAAAGTTCTTTGGGAGGTCGCTGGACATCCCTAGCCTGGCTGCTCAGGTGACCGATAGCACCAACTGCAGATCGTGTTCCTCACTTCAGGAGACCTCCAACAGCACAAGGAGACCGCTGTTCTAGGTAGACTCCCTACTTTTATACTGTAACCCTAGGGGTTTAAGCTGGAAAGGTTCAGCAGATTAGTCAAGACTACAATAAAACCTGCGGCTCTTGGAAACCATGTAAAGCTCTAATGTGTTGGGTTTTTCTTTTTTTAATAAATTTATTTTATTTTTGGCTGCGTTGGGTCTTCGTTGCAGGCTTTTCTCTCGTTGCGGCGAGCGGGGGCTACTCTTCATTGCAGTGCACGGGCTTCTCACTGCGGTGGCTTCTCTTGTTGAGCACGGGCTCCAGGCGCGTGGGCTTCAGTGGTTGTGGTACGCGGGCTCAGTAGTTGTGGCTTGCAG